AGTGTGTTAAACCCAATAAAGTATATTATGGAGGAAGACAATGCATAGAAATAATCTGTTGGTGGTTTAAATGTAGACGGTGTAGTGGTTGGAAGTGTCTGATACATTTATGCCTTAGTTCTAGATAGTTTGCTTATAAAAGAGTGTGGTTGTAGAGTCTAATTAAAAAAAAAAAATCTTTTCAGACCCAGTGATGCTGCTGATGAAGGTGCAGACACATCTGTTACCGAGCCCAGAAATGCAACAGGTGAATCCTTCCGAAGAAGATTAATTGCCAATCTGGCCGAGCACATCCTCTTCAGTAAGTCCAACACCAGACTCTTTATAATCCTGCCCTGCAGACTCAGCACATGCAGGGCAGACCACACTGGTTTTGGAGACCGCTGTAGTCAGGCTGTACCTCTGGTGGCATCACCCGCTACAGGGGTGGTGATGGCAAGTTATTAGAAAGGGGATGCTGTGGGCATCTGAACGAATCGAGGAAAACCTCACGCACAGTGCCTGGTAATTAGGTGCTCATGTGGTAGGTCTTCTGCTTTCTAAAAAGTAGTACCGTCAGGATGATCTGTTGCCTCTTTTGCTCACGAACTTGTTTGTTTGAACTAACTAGCAGTATGGCATCTAGTTTTACAGTCGCGTGTCCCTTTGCCTGCTGACCCCATGCTTATTTTCACCCAGCAGATATCGAGGGGCCATTATGTATGTGTAAAGCTTTGTTTTCGCTGTGGGGAATACAAACTGAATAATTAGCAGTTCTGTACGAGCTTGTGCTGCTCCTGGTGGCATAGTTGTGCACAAATAATTCAAGTGGGAGTGAGCCGGAGTAGAGAGAGTGGGGGTACAGAATCAGCCTCCTCTAAGCCCCAAGTGGCAACGTGTGTCATGTTGTAGAATCTGCTTGGCCGTCCTGTGGCAGGCAGTGCTGTGGTCCCTTAGTGCACAGCCCAGGTGGGCTGTCCCTGCCCTTCCCCGAGCCTCACCGCGAGTCAGGCCAGACTCTCACCCCCTCCTGGTGGCGCCACCGTGGGGGCTTCCTCGCCCAGCCTCGCTCCTGCCCTCCTGCTTCACACAAGGGCGGAGTCTCCTTTCTTAAGCTCCCGTCTGTGTCTCTCTCCTGCTTAAGTTCCGTGTGCTCAAAATAATACGTGCGTAATGTTGGGAAGTTGGGAGATAAAGATAAAACCCACTGCCCAGATAACCAGGGATGTTGCCATCTGGTCTTTAAAAGTATTTTTTACAGGTTTATATAGTGCTGTTTTCCAGTTGTAACACACATATTTATGTTTTTAAAAAACTCTTGACAAATACTCTTTTTAATGGCAATAAATATGGTACTTGGTACGTTGTTTTTCAAACACTGGAGATAACACTGTGAGTGGAGTATTCATGAATTCGTTATCTCAGAATGTTCACAAGCGGTGTGTTTATTTCGGAATATTCCATAGATACTTATTTGACTTATATGATGATAATTTTCTACGAACTCAGAGTACTGGGTTAGGGGCCATAGTAACTCTCAGATACACTTCTGTCCTCTCCCTCCCTCCCTCTGACCTGGAAGGTTGATCATGTACCCTCAGTCCAGTGCACGCGGCACATTTCATCTTAGCAGTGCGGAACTTGTGGCATGGGGGTGGAAGCAATTTCCCCCAAGTTATGAAATTAGTGTAGGAATTAGGATTTGAGCCCAAATTTTCTGACTTCAGGCCTACTACCCTCTTCTCCCACTACACCTTTCTTTTACTGTGATGGTGAATCTGCCTGCACCAGGAGAGCAGGAGGCACAGTTCTCGTGGACTGCAGCTGGGAACAAGTCCAGAAACACGCAAGTGTGATGCCCCATAGAAGCACCACAACAGGCGTATAATTTGGGTCTTGGTATTTCCCTAAAGGTGTCTCTCAGTCATTCAGTAACAAAGTTCCACTGGCCTGTTTGGAAGGTGGAGCCATCTTAGGCTAGTTTCTGTTATAATAGTGATCTCTAGTGAGGTTCTGTGGGCCCAGAACATGGTATAATGTTGTAATTTCCCTTCAGTAAATCATAGTTCCGGGAAATGTGGTAGATGTGGAGGTATTTAGAGTTTTAAACACTCCTGTTCGAGGTTTAGGTACTTTGAGGGGCACCGGGGTGGCTTAGTTGGTTAAGTTGATTACAGCTCGGGTCATGATCTCATGGTTTGTGGGATCGAGCCCCGTGTCAGGCTCCATGCTGACAGTGCAGAGCCTGCTTGGGATTCCTTCTCTCCCTCTCTCTCTCTGCCCCTCCCCTGCTCGCTCATACTCTTTCTCTCTCTCTCTCTTTGAAAATAAATAAAAGATTTAGGTACTTTTAGAAACTTCCAGCTATATTAAAAGAGAAGGGAACCTAAAGCTTTGTGTTTGCCTTCCAGCTGCTAGCAAGTCCTGTGCCATTATGTCAACACACATCGTGGCCTGCCTGCTCCTCTACAGACACAGGCAGGTATGTCTGCAGTGTTACTGGAGTTGAGAAAGCACGAGAAGGCTTGGGCAGCTGTCCAGATACTCGCTCGCTAATAAGTCTGGCCCAGTTCCGGCTTGTGCTCGTGAGCTACACAGTAAAATAAGCTAAGCAGCCTGCCCACAGGAGCTTACAACTCTGATGGAGAAAGTCCATGTGAAAAGAAACCTCAGAGACTGCATGATATATGTGGCAGTAAGACATGCCTTGAGTAATACAGTTCACGTAAATAAGGCATATCGCGTTGATGTGCAGTAAGTGTTCTGACAGCTGACGGTTTCCAAGCTATTTGATTTGTATTTAGGACCATCTTCCCTTAATGGGTCTGTCTAAGCCCTGTGACGGGAGAGTGTGTCTGTCCTATTCACAGTCATTTCTCAACACCAAACATAGTGCCTGTGTGTGTGTGTGTGTGTGTGTGTGTGTGTGTGTGTATGTGTACATATGCACCAAATAAGTAGTTGTCAGATAAATATTTAAAATGAGGGAAATTACTACTGAGAAATAAGCACTTCTTACTTTTAGATGGCTGCTGCTTCCCTTTGTCACCTTATATGCTCCTATCACGTGTGGTGGCCAGAGTGTTCTCTGGATGTGAATATCTTGGCTTTCTGGAGGACTGGCCTTTTCACCAGTTTTCTGACCACCTATGCACTGATATTCTGGCCCTTTTCCTGTATGTGCCAACAGCAGGCTGCAGGAAAGCCAAGGCAAGGAGAAAACTCCTCGGAATGGCCTCATGGCCTTCTGGGACGTAGGTTTTCCACTGTCGTGAGACCATTTCTGTCTGTTTCTCTAGGGAATTGATCTCTCCACATTAGTGGAGGACTTCTTTGTGATGAAGGAGGAAGTCCTGGCTCGAGATTTTGACCTGGGGTTCTCAGGAAACTCCGAAGATGTAGTTATGCACGCCATCCAGCTGCTGGGAAATTGTGTCACGATCACTCACACCAGCAGGAACGATGAGTTTTTTATTACTCCTAGCACAACTGTCCCATCAGTCTTTGAACTCAACTTCTACAGCAACGGGGTACTCCACGTCTTCATCATGGAGGCCATCATAGGTATGGCCTGCCCCGGGGTACCCTCATGGGCAGGAAAAGGGCCTAAAGCACAGAGTGGTGTTGATTTGGATGGTAGCCCCTTGTTTAAGGGAATGTGTTGCTGTATTTTCAGTTTTCAAATAAAAATAGAATCTCGATCACTATAGCTTATTCATACATTTATCAGCAAACAGTTACTGAATTACTGTTTGCATAGTATACTTATTACTGAGGAGGAGAGGGAACATGTTTTGCTCTCAGGAGCTGGAAACGTGACTGAGACAGCACTACACGTAGCAGTAAAATGAGTGTAGGGCGCTCAGTTGCGATCAAGAGGGGGCAGAGGAGAAGGAGAGCAGGAGGGTCGGAAGTGCCTGAGGAACGTGTCTGATGGAGTTGGGATCCCATGGAATCATGAGCCCTGGATCCTGAAGGGATTTATGGAAATTCTTGGAGCTGTAAGGCTGTTGGCTTCATTGACGCATCTCTTTCCTTAAGCCTGCAGCCTTTATGCGGTTCTGCACAAGAGGGGCTCCGGAGGGTCTGCGGGAACGTCCCCTAACTTGATCAGCCAGGAGCAGCTCGTGCGGAAGGCCGCCAGCCTGTGCTATCTGCTCTCTAATGAAGGCACCATAGCTCTTGTAAGTGAACAGTCCTTCGTGTTGCCTGTTCTTTTTCTCGAGCATTTTTGTGAAAACACGAGCCACCTTTGTGTTTTTGTCTCAGAGGCTGTTTGGTCTGTTTTTAAAGCTGTACGCTCTACTCCTGGGTCTCAGTGACCATCCGGTCAACATGTTGTGTACTATCTTTGTTTGCTGTTGGGGTCACTGCTCCAGTGAACCTTTCATGCAGCTGGGAGGCGTGATGGGACAGATGGCTCAACGTTCTCCATCAGATCCAAAGTTACTAAGCTCTTACTGTACATAAGGCACTGGGTCAGAGGTTTGTAAATTATTAACATGCCCAGAAGATAAGAGCTAGAAACAGTCTTAAAAATCATCTTTGCAAGCCCTTGTCATTTTACAAATGGGAAAACTAAGACCCAGCAGTACTGATGAGCATTTATGTTCTATTCAGGCACTTCTAGACATTCACAATGAGACATACATATTAGGCAATAGATTCTGTTTCCTCAAAATCATCAACAAAAAGAACTCGTATTCTATTTAAAGTCTAATACTCTTTCCCACTCATTTGAACGTGTCCTGGAACATTTATGAGTACATGTATTGTGAGTACAGCCCTCCTCCGTAGCAGCATTATTTGTGTGTGGTATATTGTCGTCCCGTTGGGGAATCTGTTTTGCATGAACTTTGGACAGCAGGATGGAATGGGGTAGGTAAAGCTCCCAGGATTGACCTTGTCCTTTTCCTGAGTCATTTTTGAGCTATTTGAGTATTGTCTTTCCTCATCTACCACTTTTATGTACAGTATTTACTGTGAGGTAGCATTTGCAGAGAAATTGTCTCAGAAAGAAAAAGAAATAGGTGGTAGGGCCCGACAGGCAGTCCTGACAAGGACTTGCTCCCCTGCGGGAGACGCTGAGCTCGGGGCACCCTTTGCACGTGGTGGCACCCTTTGCACGTGGTGGCACCTGGGTGCTCTGACAGAACGAGGGCTCTTCATGGGCTTTGCCTTTGACCAGGCATTTAGCGAGAGGGTGGGCAACGGGGATCTTAAGGCTTCCCAGTGGCGGGAGGGGGTTGATACGGAGGCATTTGGCAGTCACCTTGTCCCGTGTTTCTGTCTTTAGAAAAGTCGGCGACATTTATATTTAAATGCCTTTTCTTTTCAGCCCTGCCAGACATTTTACCAAATTTGCCACGAGACAGTAGGAAGGTTTATCCAGTATGGCATTCTCACAGTGGCAGAGGTGAGAGGTGGCTTTGCTTTATTCGCCTTTGCTTAGGTTCTCACTCTTCCTTCTCTTTCCTCCCGATTATTTTAACTAATGTTACAGGCAGTTGTTTCAGCCAGTAATCACATTTGGTATATAGTCAAGCCCACATGAAAAGAAAAGTAAGGATAGGGAGAGTAAATGTCTTTGGGGATTGTTTTTAATACTTTGGTTTCTTTTGGGTCACTGGTCTTGTCCAGAACCCATTGTGACTTGATTCTGTGATACCCAGAAGTTTTCATTCCAAGATGAGATGTTTTACATATCAGTGCTTGTGGTTTGCACACACACGCTTTTCTCTTTTGAGATTTTAAGTTTTGTAGATTTAGGACAGCAAGTACGGCCTGGGAAAGTAGATACCAATTTAGAGGAGGTGGGGGTATTATTATTTGCTCTGTCTGGTAGCTTCCCCCACTGCCTCTTTCTTGTTTCCTTCCTTGCTCTCTCCCAAGTGATTCTGAGTTTGGAGAGGAAGGTGCTCTGTGGATGCTGTGGATGGCTAACAGGAGTAGGGGAGGGCAGTGAGAGAGGATACTTTGTCTGCTGTCCAGCCAGGCAGATGTCTGTGTGCCTGCGCATATTTATTTCCTGTTGGTCGTCTCTTTGGCATAGCAAGATGACCAAGAAGATACTAGTCCTGGTCTCGCTGAGCAGCAGTGGGACAAGAAGCTTCCGGAGCCTTTGTCTTGGAGAAGCGATGAAGAAGATGAAGACAGTGATTTTGGTGAGGAGCAGCGAGATTGCTACCTGAAGGTACTTCGGTGAAGAATTCTGGTGGACATTACACTGAAGAGTTGGGGTTTATGTTGCCCTTAGTTAGTGAGGTTCTTATAAACGGGACTCGGGTGGCTTATTCCTATCTCTAGCACCCATAAACCAGCCACAGTGCTTTCTGCCTGGTAAAGATACTCAAATGTTTGAGGTGAATGAATACCCCCCAGTGGTTCAGCTTGGGTGTAGGCAATGGAAAAGGACATAGAAGTGCAAATTCGGGAAGATGAACGTCGGGAAGGAGACCTGTCACAGCCCTGTCATCAGAATGCACAGGTACAGGTGCAAATGTGTTTCCCTACACTTACGCTCACTCCTGAAGAGGGAGGACTTTCACTCAGTCATCAGTAAAGCCAGGCAGTGCCCAGAGTTGGGGAGGGATTTCTATTCGGCTGTCACTGGCCGGTGACTCTTTCTGAGTCATTCTCAGTCTTGCCAACCCTCCCAGAATTTCATACATTGAGGTCTTTGCCTTCAGTTAAAACAAATACGGATCATCAGAGGAGAAAATTTAGATTTCTAAGAGATTGATTGTCTCTGGTTTGTAATTTTATAAGTTGATGACCTATGTTTTTCTGAGTATTTTAAGTGGATTACTCTTTAAAAAAATTTTTTTAATGTTTATTCTTGAAAGAGAGAGAGAGAGACTGAACGTGAGCAGAGGAGGGGCAGAGAGAGGGGGAGACACAGAATCCAAAGCAGGCTCCAGGCTCTGAGCTGTCAGCACAGAGCCCAACGCAGGGCTCGAACTCATGAACTGCAAGATCATGACCTGAGCCAGAGTCAGCTGCATAACCAGCTGAGCCACCCAGGCAGCCTGGCACTAAGTAGTTTACTCTTTTTGCAGTGGTATGATACCTCCAATTCACAGACACACACACACACACGTACACACACGTACACACACACCCCACAGACTCAGGAGGTGTAGCTTTTGGAGAGTCGAAATGACCTTTAGGAGTTTTTCCATTTTGAGTGTTCATGGTTTTAAGAGGGGGAGTGGTCTTACCTCGGCACTGCCAGGGGCTTGTCCGAGCTGGCCTGTTAGGGGTGGGTGCAGTGAGAGCCCCGTCTGCCACACACATCTCGTCACCACTACTGTCATCCCCACTGTGTTACCATGTGGGCCCGAGGCCACTTAGTGGTGGCAGCCAGTGCAGGCTGGGAAGGACCGAGCCTTGCCAGGTGGTCTTGCCAGGTGCCTTCTTTCACACTCGAGTGCTGTGGAGCTGGGCTTCGAACCCTGGAGGGCCCCGCTTTGGGACCCGCTATTTTCAGTGATGGCAAAATGTCATATAATTCTGTCATTTAAGCATGACCGGTTCTTCCAGGCAGCTGCTTAGTGAATGTAAATCTCAAGTACTGCAGGAAAGAGGACTGTCGTGAAGAACCCATTTCACATCCAGAGTCCTTTCCGGCAGAGGGTCTGTGCCCCCGGAGTGGCAGGCTGCTTCTGGGGGGTGACTAGTGAGAGGCCGCCGTCTCAGTTGCCGCCTCTCGGGAGGCCCCTGTGTCCGCGCGCTTGCTTCTTCTCTCCCGCCGGGTGACCGCATGGCCCGCTCTCGCACTCCCAGGTGAGCCAGTCCAAGGAGCACCAGCAGTTCATCACCTTCCTGCAGAGGCTCCTGGGGCCCCTGTTGGAGGCCTATAGCTCTGCCGCCATCTTCATCCACAACTTCGCCGGCCCGGTTCCGGAGCCAGAGTATCTGCAGAAGTTGCACAAATACCTGATCGCCAGGACGGAAAGAAGCGTCGCTGTGTATGGTATGTGTGTCGCCACCGTGGCTTCTTTTAAAAGCTGTGCCTCTTTCGATTATAGGAATCTGCTAATTGTAGACAGTTAGGAAAAACTGCACACTTAACCTGACCTCTGACTTCATAGACTCCTGTTAGTGTCTGTTTTTGTACGTTATATAAACGGAATGATACAGTTACATAGTCTTACGTCCGGCTTTTTTCACCTAACATCATAAGTGAGGTTCGTACATGTTAGTGCATGTGGGCGGTTGTTCATTCTGTTGCCTTATAGTACTCCACCATATAAATACTTCTTGCATATAATTTCTCTCCATCACCGATGGATAGTTGGGTTGTCTGCACTTCGGAGCTACTCTGACAGGCGCCACTGTGAATGTGTCCTACGTCCTGGGCAAACACACGCCCACTTGTACACTGGGTGCATCTAGCAGTCGTCTGGCAGCTTCAGTAAGCACTGCAGGTGATTCCTGGGTGGTCGTGCCCGTTTGCACTCCAGCAGCCTCGTGTTTCCAGTGCTCCACACCCGGCTGGCATTCGCTGTATAAGAAGTGTGATCTGGTGGGAATAGTGTTTTATATAGTTAACGGCTTAGGACTGACACTGCTTTGGAATCGATATTTTCTAGAGCTGGAAGGGATCTAGAGATAATTTCTCTCTAGGCATCTCTCTCTGTCTCTCCATATCCATATAGATGAATATCTAGAGATAGAGCCACCCACTTAATAGATGAGGAAACTATCGTAGATCACATAGCTAGTAAATGGGCAAACCCGGGTCCAGAATTCTCTTCTTCTAACCTCTAGATTTGTGCCCATTCTGTTTCCACTGAAGTGAGCATTGTCTGTGCGTCACTGTGCAGTTTAACAGAATTTCTACACCCTGTCTTGGTTGCCTCTCTCCAGAACCTTTCAAGATGGTTGTTGGTGTTTCTTCTTCTTTTCCTTTTCTCTCTCGTTTCCTCCCTCCCTCTCTCTCTCTGTCTGTCTTCTTGCTGTTTTTTCCTTAAAAGATGACAGAGCAAGTTTAAGTAAACAGCAGATCCTTTGAGACCTCACGGGTTGCGGTAGCAGAAATGGAGCTTGGCCCCAGTCTGCTGATGTGCACAAGGCCTCCAGCACCTCCCGCGCTTTCTTACTGTGGATGTTGGCATTTTTGTGTTTGCTGAACTTTTTGACAAGGTCTTATCCTGTCTCTACAGCCGAGAGTGCCACTTACTGCCTTGTGAAGAATGCTGTGAAAATGTTCAAGGATATTGGGGTGAGTGCCCACCACTTACAGTACAAAGTTGTGTCTTCTGTTCTCTTTCCGCCCAGATCTAGTCTATCTGAGCCACCTTTGTTTGGGGTGGGCCCTGAGAAAAGCAGTTTCTGCTGGACGAATCCTGACAGCGTTTCTGGGGATTGAGAGAGGGCGGGTTATGCTGAAGGTGAGGCCCATCAGTACAGACTTATTTGGATGTTCCAGAACTTTGCCGATTTTCTTCTTCATCCCCAAACCGTTTACATACAACAGGTGCTGGGGTGTTTCAAGCTGCTAATACAGTTTTGGTAGGGATGTTAATGAAGCCATATGATTTTCAGTTGTTGTGTTTTTGCTGGTATTGCGAGAAGTATTGTCCAGTGTACTTTACCTTGCTGTGGGACATGAGTTCCATGGAGGTACTGATAGCCTTTGTAAGGGACTTATTTGTGACTTTATTTTAACACAAATTTTAAAGTATACTGATTGGACTCTGCCCAAGAACACCACACCCACGTCCATAACCTCCCCACCCCGTACTCGTAAACACCCACATGCACATTTGCTTAAAGCCAGGATATGATTTTATGTGCCTTCCTGCCTCTCGGGGTCTAGGACACAGGTCAGGGTTGGTGCCAGAAATGTCTCCTTTCTTCGGTTTGTCTTTAATTTCAACTTTCTCTCTAGGTTTTCAAAGAGACCAAACAAAAGAGAGTGTCTGTTTTAGAACTCAGCAGCACGTTTCTACCTCAGTGCAACCGGCAAAAACTCCTAGAATACATTCTGAGCTTCGTGGTGCTGTAGGTGACTCCTGGCCCCGTGGCGAGTGAAGGGAGTGGGGCATGTCCCTCGTGGGCTCCAGCCTCCGGCTCGAGAGTTGAAGGCGCCGGCGTGTGGTCAGGCCTGACCTGTCCTGATGTGACCTGCGGGAACACAAGTGCCTTCCCCTCCGCGGCCCTGTGCTTCTCCCACCCTGAGATGACACAGCAGCCCCCGTGCAGGTGACGCTGGGGCCTCTGCCTCCGCTTGCAAATCGTCGGTAGATGACACAATGAGATATCAAAAAATCACCTTGGAGTCTATTAGAGATTCACCTTTAAGCATAACTGTTAAGAACTAATTCCTGTGATGGGCACAAAAACGTAGATTCATTCTAGAACCGAATCTTGTATAGTGTACCTAATACTGTTGGATAATTCGTCGGTATATTTTCTGATTAACGGTTAATGCTTCCTTTAAACATGATCGGGTCATCCATTCACTGTGTGTGGTTTTGTTTTTTTTTGTTTTGTTTTTGTTTTTTTTTCCAGTTTTATATTTGTCAATACTAGCTAAATTTTAAAGGGGACACCTTTCATCCCAAAGTGCTTTACAAATGAACGGGCTGATCTTTATCACACCCAGGTATCACTATCACTGTGCTGTCCTTTGCAGTCAGATTTAGAAAGTGTTTTAAGAACTACATGAAAACATGAGGTTAGGTCAGAAATAGAGCTAATGTGATCAAACAGTTAACATCAGGAAGTAAATTTGGCTGGCAAAATTCAAGGTAAACTTTGCCAGAACACTGACTTTGAACACTTCTGCCCATATAAAAAGTGCCATTGAGTTTTAAATGACCAGCAAGTATTTAGGAACAAGTCCTGTTTTATTTCTGCACTGTCTCCCATCCCTCTTGGCACCTGCCTCTCAACAGGTGCAGCTACTTCTTAGGGATCTTTCCGCTAAATAGCACCTGGCCTAACTTGATTAGCTTGGCCTGATGGACTGTGATAGTGTTAAGTATTGGGGCTCTAGGCTGCCGACCCGGGGCTCTCACGTACTGCGTACAGGTTGTGCACTGCCCCAGTCCAGGTGACTGGTACCCACTCAGGCTGTGTGGTATACAGCATGTGGTGGCCCTCTCGACAGGCAAATGGTTGAAAGCATTTATGGAGTTTTAGCTGCGAGGAAAAACAATGGGTTTTTAAAAACGTGTATGGGCTAATATGCCGAAACCCTGAGGCCACATAGTGGCAAACTATGATGAAAAATTGCTCGTAATGGGTAGGTGCCTTTTTATGAGCAGGAGCATAATTATTTGTTGTAGTGATGGTGTGGATTTCATAAAGATCATGTGATATTAAAACATTTTCTAACAGCTTATTGTTCTTTCTGTTCACGGTATTATGGAATTAGGAATTTTTCCTGATGAATATGGCATATAGTCTTTGAATTTAAAGGTACTGAGAATTAAGTGTGTACTTTTATAAGCTTGGACTTTAAACACTAATAGCGTCTCATAAATATCCCGTGCGTGTCGGGAGAGGGAAGGGTACTGGTTGGTATTTCACAGTGTGTGAAATAGCTCGTTTGAAACTCCTAGCAATAACGCTGTGCCGTTGCGATCTTTTTCCAGTCTTCTCAAATTCCACGTTTAAAATATGTTCGTTCTTTGTAGGAACTCATGTACCCTTAAGCCATCGTCAGTGTTGTGGCGGCTCTGGTGTGGAGCGGGCTCTTCACCTTGTAGCACTCCATTTTGCTAACCGGGAGAGAGGAACGCGTCTGCTTTTGGCTGGAGCTGTGCCCATGGGGAACACCCACGGAGGCTGCCTTATTCCCCGTGAGTGGCCCTTTTCTAGGCAGGCAGTCATTGCACTCATCTCTCTCATTCCCCTTCTAAATTATAGATCAAGGATTACTCAGGCTGTCTCTTACTTACCTGGAGGGTCAGGGTTGGGACTGACCGTGAGTGGAATCGGCTGCACTGCCTGTGACTTCTGCTAAGAGCTCCCGCCATGCCCGCCCAAGCAGGAAACAGTGGCTTCTCTGGCTTCATTTCCCTTTTCAGTTGGTTTGTCTTCTAGAAATCTAATCAGATGCTTTGGGGAATGCAACGTATGATTTGCTAGCTCTCTTGCAACTTAACTCACTGTGAGAATAAATATGCATGCTTTTTGTAATTAACTGGTGCTTTGAAAACCTTTTTTAAGGAAGAAAAATCTCAACCAAAGTTATGCTCATCCACACAAGCTGACCCTGAGTTAATTTTAGCACAACTCATTCTTCAGTGCCTCATTACTGAAAACAACATACATCATCACAGTAAGGCTTCCAGATAGCACTGTTTTGCTTAAAGATTTATTCTCACTGTTTTCCAAAAGCGAATGGCTTCCATGTAAGAATAAACAAACTAGGTGCTTGTAAATAATTTATTACAGTTTACTCTATTGCATTTCTGTAAACCTGAAATGCATGCCCTCCAGGGGAAGACTGTGAGTCAAATTAAAAAACAAAATCCAATAACAAGCAATACGAAACTGCACGCTTTCAAATTACCAATGTCCTAAGTGATTTCAGAAAAGGGGAAGGAATTTCTGCTCGCTTAGCTTTGAAGAAAAACAAAGGGAAGGCACTAGTGTGAACCGTGTAGCACTAGTAACAGAGAAAGTATTCCGAATCTTCCTTCTCGGATTTGTCGTCTCTGGAAGTCAGAGAGGTGAGCGGATTGCAATGAATGTAAACTCAGATTGTGGAACTTGCGGTCCCCCAAAGGGGAAAAGCACATCCCGTGGTTCTCCATGTAATCTGAGTGCGCTGTGAGATGCTCATTGGTGTTTTGTAGAAGTGTTGCTGGGTAAAATAAAAGTGTACGCGAATCCTCTTTTTTTAGAAACTCATGGTTTGCTCTAGTGTAGCAAGGGCTCAGGGTGTGCCGGTCCCAAGCCTGTTTAACCCAGCATTTCCAAACTATTGTGACCCCAGGATCTTTTTCAAAACCCCTTTACACCCCTACGAACCTCCACGAAGCCATGGAAAACATTTTGGGAAGCACTACGTTAAACAGTAACAGCAGGGAGGCAGAATTTGCATGCATTTTGTATAATCTAATGTTCTAGTTAATGGGTGTACATTTCCTCCCCTGGAGACAATAAGCACAGAAAACTGTAATATAGGTAGTCTGATATCTTTCCTTTGATGGAAAGATCAGCTGTCAATGATCCTGGGTTTTTCCCTGAAAGTAGCAAAATTAACACAAGGATTAACTGGGGTAAATAATGAAGATTTTAATTCAGATCTAGAAGAAAATATTGCACAACTGAATGCAGATTTTTATCCACAGATAGTTCTAGTGTTTAGAAATGATAAGACCTATCACTGAAGTTTATAAGACATAATTTGGATGTAAATCTGTTTTTTAAAACACTCTTTTTAGGAACTTGAGACTTGGCATCTGGCATTCTAGTTTAATACAAACTAATGATCGCACATTTGGAAGAATTTTGCCTTTATTTCTAAACATCTAAAGCTCTGAAATGCCTTGATGGAAGGTGTTATTTTCCTGTTGTACAAAGAAATGTTAAATTGTTGTAAAAAGGCTTACTATAAAGTACTGTGAAATAATACTATGTGATTTTGTGAACGAAACTTATTTGGAAACGTTGATTGATTTTTATGCCTGTTAATGTATTGTCAGAAGCACAGAAGTGTAGTTTTGTTTTAATAAACCAAAAAATGAATATATTCTTGATATCTCAAATTCGTAGTTGAAAGTTCCCTAATAGGTTATTATACCATTGCTCTTGTTGGACTTTACATAGGACTTTAATAAAATGTTCATAGGAAATAGCCTTGCATAAATTTATGGACCCCCAGTGGATGGTTTTTATCACTGACCCAGAGCTCTTCAAATTTGATCAAGCTTTTTATCTCCTTAATAAATATTCGTATCACAGAGATCTACTTTGAGTTTCTGTAAAGATTCCTTTAAACCTGGTGCTTCTGTCATATCTTTCTATACTGAAGTGTTAGGTTTTTTCCACTAGTTCATAATAGTTGCTCAGAAATTACTTTTTTGACAAGTAAGGCAAGTATTTTCTTAGAGCACTATTTTCTGTGGATCCTTCGAAAGCCTTCAAATGCAGCCTTCTCGAGAGTGCGCCCTCCAGAAAGGGTGGCGACCACGTGCCTGGACCATGCAGCCATGCCCTTTGGGTACATGACATGTCTGTGACCCTGACACCCCAGACCACGAACCCTGCTCTCCACCAGACCCTCTATCTGAACTTGGTACTTTGTTCCCTCTGATTTGCTCTGGAAGGTTCTTGCCAGGACTATATCCTTGCCTTCTGGTGCGTTCATTCTTTGCATTGGCCCAACGTGACCTTCCTCTTATCATACAAAGTTCCATTTTTTACAACCACTTACTCCAAATGGATGTTAATTGATTTTGAAGTCTCATCTCTTAATGTTCAATTCTGTGCTCACTCATTTTAGTCCTGTTTATTCCCCCTTTTCACACCTTGCAGTCCTCACACCTATCTAGTAAAATTCTAATGTCCCTCCTTGATGAATACAAAGTCATTTTCCTACTTGTCCGCAACATCTGTGGTGTTGTCCCTGCCACAGCCTGTCTTCTCACTGAGATGCTCTCTTGTTCTTCCAGTTTCCATGGCCCTCTGGTCTTCTGTCTCTTCAGGATTCCACCCTTCACCTCTTCCTTGTCTCCCACCCTTTATCAGATGGTCCTGGTATTGTTTTGGGAACCTCTGAGTTAAAAAAAAAAAAAAAAAAAAGTGAATTTTGTCCGAAATTTTTATTTGTTTTTTTAATATGAAAGCACCTGGTTTTTACATGGTGGTGCGACAAACTGTGTGGATGGTGTACACGGCTTTCCCGGACCGCGTAGATCTTGGCAGCTGCCAGTTCACGCCTTCTGGCCTGGCTGAAAGCAGTTACGAAAGCACCAGTTCCAGAGGCCCCTTCCAAGAGCCAGAGGGCGATCCATTGTTGGGAGAAGGTTGACCTTGCTCCTCTGAGTT